AATAAATTTCATAGAAATAATAAAATAAAAAGGTTTGTATAAACATGTGCACATTTCAAAGAAAATATTGTTTATCTATTGCCTTGATTGCTGTATTTTCTTCTTTTAGTTAGGTAAGCTCTGTTAAGTTCACACCGCGACATATCACCCTTGTTGTATTTTATTTCAGCCACAGCCTTATATCAACATTTCGTCACATATTACCAACTTAGATAAAAATTGCATGGAAACATAAGAAAATGCCCAAATCAGCAAATATGAAAAGGTTACTGGCTCAGTTTGATTGAACCTGTTCATGGACATGAGTGATAAATATAATCTACAACAACAAAATGAGCATGACCAAAATTAAGTTAAGTGCAATGCCCTTAACTGACTCAAGATTTTTATAAAAGAAATAAATTCCATGTCTTCATAATAACACTGATGTAACATGTTCAGAAAAGTTCATTGAATTAAGACGGTGTTTCACTGAACCTTCAAAAATATAAACGCTAAGTGACAGTGAACATAAATGGAGGGTAAAAGGAGGAAGGAAAATTTGTATGATGTATTTCTCTGACATGGAAATGACATGTGAGGTAACATGTAAGGTTACATGCACTCAATGTATTGTACAAGTGAAATGAGGCAGGTGTAAGATCATTATCATGAAGGTGAAGTTTGCGACTCTTACCTTGTCATATACAGAATTCAAACAGATCAATTAAAATAACTATTCACTGAAGCAAACAAATGCAAGTATGCATTCATCGAGGCAACAAACTAGTAAATTTGCAAAGTCTTCAACAAAGTGAATCAACGTTGTTTTAAATTTACACCAAAGTCAGAACTCAATATATATATAACAAAAAGAAAAAGAAATAATAATGATTATTTATATCCTTTAAATATTTGAATCACAATAAAATGAAACTTATTTATGGTTCAAAATTAAGCTGGCTTTTTTCAATGAAAATTGATAAGGTAAATAAGGTATCTTTTATGTCATCTAAACAGTTTTGTTAATATTTTAGTTTCTGAAAAGTAGAAATGGACATAATTTGTTTCAATCTCTAACAACCACAACTTCTCCTCTAAAGACAGTCATATTTATTAATTTAAAAGTTTTAATGTCTTGGATACTTAATTTTTGGCTGATGGGATTGTAAAAAAACATGATGTCACTGTAAAAGTTGCAAATTTCTTAGCTGTACTGGTAGGGGCATTTTCTGCAAGCATTAGGTATTGGTATCAAAGTGGAACCACTAAACCTTTGTAAAGTAATTATCTTCCATGCTAAAAAATGTTGATGTCTTTGACGGGTTTTAAACCCCCTATTTAGGTGACAGGCAAGTGTTTTCAAATCTGATATCTTTACCATTTACCTCAATACCCTTTCCTGATATAAAATCTATAAAGTTCATGCAGACAGTTTTCACTATATACATGTATAGTTCACAATCGCAGACAGTTTTCACTATTTACATGTATAGTTCACAATCTTGGTGGTACTAGCAGTAAAACTTAAATTAGCCATGCTCATCCTGAATGGTTAAACTAATAGAGAACACAATCTTTTGTTGTTTTGTATTTTTCAAGATGTATTTTGAGATTTGTTTGGGAAGAAGTTGTTATCAGTATTCAAGAGATACTTGGATATCTCAGGCAGAACCTATTATAGTACTCAACACAGTATGTACATGATTTATGGTTGTAAAAAAACAATATCATACTATTTCAAACCTAAACAATAGCAACCTATAAATCTTTTGAGGACAATTCTTCAACAAAATTTACATTTTAAGTAAATAATAGGTATGAGAAAAAGTACTAAAGTCTATTCTTCCATTATAATAATAGAATTAAGTTACGATAAATCAAAACCATTAAAGACACAGCCTAAGCTATTATAATACAAAAGATTCGGCTCTTATCTACATTGAAATCTCAGGAATTTCCTGTTTTCCTTGTTCAATTCACCTGTCAATAAAGCATGCAGTGATATGGAAAGGCCATGGTATTTCTGGTCTTTATATTCAAATAAAAAAAGAGAACATTTCTGAATGTTGTCTGCCCTTTAATAAGCCACCTTAGCTAAAACATAAACAAAATTATTACATAATTATAGATTAATATTATATAATATGAATAGGGGATATCCCCAGAGGTGTTAATAATCAACATGCAAAATGCAATGTAACCTTCACTACTGCCTTATTATATTGTAAATTAACATTAATGACTACTTAATAGCAAAACATTTCAAAATTGCTATATTTGTAACTATAAACATAACAATATGCTTATTGAAAATTAAATAGTTAAATGTAGATACTCTAAAATACCCAAAATACAATCATAAATAGTTTAAAGTCTGCTTATAGCTTTATATTTCAATGTTATTACTAAAATTCAAGGAAGGATATTTTTTAAATTCTGATTATTAAGTTCTATAAGCACAAAGAACCATTAACAGAAGCTCCTTTTGCGATTCAAATACTAAATATTTCTTTCCTATATTTCAACTGTTCTTTTTCTATATTTCAACTGTTACTTATCTCCTAATTTATTTATAAGCTCTGGTCTCCTTATATTAGTTCATCATATACACATAAAATATAGGTGTTTTCAACTCCCCTTAAGGCTAAAACACAATGCAACATTGCTATGAATGGGCCATCTAAGTTTTCTGTATGAAAAGAAAAAAATTGTTCTTTTCAAACTGTTCGTTTAGTACTTGATAATTCTCCAAGATTCCCCTTGTCATAGCTTTTGTCCTCGGACAAGGTAGGTGACCTATTGAACAAGTTAGACTGATTATGGCCTAATTGAATTTTTCATTGAAATTCTTAATTATCGCAAGATCGCTTTACAAGATTATGTAGGATAATAAGTTGCTGGTAAAATAATCCTGGTAGTTAAATACACTGTAGATGTTGTTAACAGATAATTCTGCTTGTTTGACACTCAAAACTCATTAATAAAACCTCAAGACTGAAAATTACCTCAAATTGTGACTTGTTACTTTTTTTTAAGTAAATTGTTGTAAACTTATATAGGTTATAATTACAGTGTACCAATCATGGGGTGGTTGCTGGGGACTTCTACAAAATTCTGCTCCATTAGATGCAAAATTGTAAAATAGTAGAACACATTAAATTAAACAAATTTCTAGGAAATTTATAACGTAACTGATTGCAGCTTCTAAGAAAAGTCATATTTGTATATATAAATAACTGTATGTAAACTAGAATTTTGATTTAACAGAGATAAACGATTTTCATACACCTACTACACGGAATTTCTATAATTTTCTTCTCATTGTGTACTTTGAGCAATTCATTAATAGTATTATTATGGATTTCAGTATCAAAATACAAAGCTGACTAGCCACCATTATGGCCTTGTAATGTTCAACAAAGAACAAAATGTGTCCAAAAACTTAAAGACTTTCATCATGTTTCTAGGGCACACTGACATGTTCATGTTGCAATTTTATATTTCAAACCAGAAAATAAAGTCTTTAAGACACATCATTACTGTATGATACTTTCCTAACAGGTAAGAACCATTCATCAAAATTTCAAAACATATGAAAGTGAATGAGCAGGCCCAGAACTTATTGTTTGAGTTGGAAGTGTTAGCAATTTTAAGGTCAGGCTATATGAAACAAGAATACCCTTAACATTGATGGATGTTAACTAAGAAAAGCTGACAAAGTTAAGAACAAAGTCTTATTATTAGGATATATAGTAGTTTCAGTAACCTGAACCATAAACCATTTAGAAGAAACCCCACCAAATGAGAAAAATTCAAAGAAAGTACCAACACATAAATTATCTGAGACATGATCAGTAGATAAATGACCATGCTATGAGATACAGTAAGTAAGACAGAAGAAAGAATGGAAGGATGGACAGAAGGACAAATTAGCAACTACAATAAATGCTTCATCAAACTAATTTAAAGCATAATAGTGTCCTAGTTACAAAATCAAGCAGACAATCATTCAGACAGGACAAGAAAAATAAGGTCATTGACCACTTAGATAAGCTTAGCCTCATCAGAAAATAAGTCTCAAGCAGTGGGTAAACCTCAATTAATACAAGCAAAAAATGTAAGTACTTATTGGTCATAAAGATGGATAGAACAGGCAAAGATTTTCCCAAGGTAGTTAAATACAAAAACATGGAGAGCCATTGAACAAACTCATCAAGCATTACAGCTCTGAATCAAGACAAACTGGGTAATATCTATCCCTCCTTATTCATACAATTCATACAAAATTGAATGAAACTAAAGATTCTAAATAAAACCATAGATTATCAATGAACTAAAAGCTCTCTAACTGACACAATTATGATAAAGGATTTTAGTTTTTGTTCACACAAAAAAAAATGTAAACAGAAATTCAAGCGGAAATTAACAATATTATTTTATCAGAAACATTTGTTTCCTTCACATGAAAGGGTTTTGCAATTTATTTATTCTTTAAATAGATTGTGGTAACAGAAGGTTTTTGGGTTCAATTTACTTAACACATTGAGGCTTAAAGACTAGTTAGATCAGAGTTTAACCCGCAATCTGTTTGAGAATGTAACTTTCAGAAAGTTGCAGTTGTTCTTTTTCACAAGTCCTAATTTGATGATGACAACATGAATTGACATTTACAGAGTTTGATAAGACCAACTTGAGCCTACAGATAATTGCATGATAGAGACTTCTTTGTAACAGATATTCCCAACAGCATAAGTATTTATGTTACAGCAAAGTCTACGGTCCAAATATTCACAGCCTGCCCACTAAATAAAACCACCAATTTTGCAGACTTGTTTTCTGAAAGTCTAAATTATGGGCGTGGCTTTTTTGTAACAATGTAAGTTAACAAAAATTGTTAAATACACTTCACAATCAACAGTTAAGAATGCCTCTTTTTTGAAGAGGGAACCCTACTTTTACAATAGGGACCACCACCTTATACAAGAGATAAATTTAAAGAGACAAAAGGCCTTGTGTACCTGATAACAATGACTTGGTTTTCTGTGTTCTTCATCATCCGGCCATAGGAAGAGCTAGCAAGAGCAAATAAATGTCTGAAATGAAAAATAAAATATCAATGTTTACCTTCTTATATTGTACAAAACTGTTTCACACTGTGATATGTGGTGATAATTTAGACAAGATATAAAAAATCTAAGTTTTTTATCTTTGCTTTTTGTTTTTTAAATATATTACATTTAACATTATTATCCAGTCCTGAGAAACTATACATTATAATTCTTGGGCCTATAAAGCATGGATCCTAAACTTAATACATTACATTAAACACCCACCCACTTATTTCTACAAACCAACAAAACACAACAGCAGGGTGAAGTTTTTTACATTGATGACTTATAATAAACCATAGCAAATCATGATCAAAATGATCATTTAGTGTTCAGTCAACACCCTTGGAATTACAATTTATAGATAGACGCAAAGCGGCTTTTGATCATATAAAAACATTTTGCTTCATCATGTAACTATAATTAATAGTAATGACTTGATAACATGAACATAATCGGGGTCAAACACATGAACATAGGTAAGGGTCCATGATATGAACATAAATAGGTGTCAAACACATGAACATAGGTAAGGGTTCATAACATGAACATAAATAGGTGTCAAACACATGAACATAGGTAAGGGTTCATTACATGAACATAGATAGGTGTCAAACACATGAACATAGGTATGGGTCCATAACATGAACATAGATAGGTGTCAAACACATGAACATAGGTAAGGGTCCATGACATGAACATAGATAGGTGTCAAACACATGAACATAGGTAAGGGTCCATGACATGAACAGAGATAGGTGTCAAACACATGAACATAGGTAAGGGTCCGTGACATGAAAATAGATAGGGGTCAAACACATGAACATAGTTTAGGGTCCATGACATGAAATAGATAGGGGTCTATCATATGGTCATACATAGGTATCCATCACCTGAATATGGGTAGGTGACCATCATTTCAATATAAGAAGGGGCCCTCACATGGACATTAGGGGTCCATTACATGAACAAAGGTAGGAGTCCATCACATGAAGAAAGGTAGGGTCTATTTCATGAACAAAAGTAGGATCTATAAAATGAACAAAAGTATTAAAGGGTTCAGCACATGAAGTACTGTACTGTTATGGTCTATCACATGAACAAAAGTAGGGGTTGATCACATGAGTACAGGTAGAGGGTTGTCACAAGAACATATGAAGGTGACCATCACATGACCATAGGAAGAGGATTCATAGATTAGTCCAGCTTTAAATTTAGAACAGTTCATTGTGTATATAAGAGATTACAATAAAACAATGCTGAATAGTAGTCTGACATGACTTTTCAAGTAGGACCTGTGTGCAAGTCACTATTAACACTTACAGTCAGAAATTAAGTAAATATCACCTATATACATACATCATGTGATATACATCATCATGTATATAATAATCAAGTTTAACATAAAATATGACATACATCAGGTAAGTGCCACTTGTAATGTTTAATCAAACACAGTGTGTTAGATATATCATTAAACCAAATCAAATACACCACTCAAAAGTATATGCCAATTCAATATACAATTTAAAGAAAAAAATGTACCTTAGTATGTTGAATTGCTTTTGAACACATATAATATTATGTTTTTATACATAATAAAAAGATTTATTATATGATCTAAATATATATAGCTGCAATCTCATTGGTCCAAACAGTAGTCAACCGAACTTTTTATAAAATCATATTCACTGGGTGTTGTATCATATTCACTGGCTGAATTGGATTTTCCCAGTCTTAAAATAGATTGAGACTCATATTCAATTATCATACACCGTAGACTGTTAATTACGCATGTTAATTAAAAATAAGTGTTGCTTTTTGTTCTTTATGGCAAATTTCTCAATTAAATATCATTACTTTACTATTATACATAAAGGCTACACCGCAATGATGAGTGTAAACTTGAATTATTTTTGTATGCGCAGCGTTCGAGTAGTCGTTGCACGCCTAACACGTGCGTCTTTTAATTTGTACATGTATATAAGGTTGTACTTTTTGTGATTTTTTTTATATTTCTTAGCCTATTCATATAATAAAACAATTATTGACTAGTGAGCCATTGAATATGATGTGATATTCACCGGCAGAAAGTCATATTGACCTCGGCTATTGCCTCGGTGAATATCACATCATATGCAATGGCTCACTTGTCAATAATTGTATAATATTTATCGGTGTAAATTAATGCAGTAGTAATGCAGATATTCTATTACAAATTCTAGCTGAAATTCTGTTGACAAACAATATGTCATACAGAGCAAAATAATCTGTAAAAAGAGCCAAGTATATTTTGAAATCGTGTGAATCTGACCTGAGTTTGTCATGGTATAAGGCTTTGAAATACAAGTATATTACCTGTGCATATTTTTTTCTGCATAAAAGAAGCCTTATTGTTCTGTTGTCTTCTATGTGTATGTCATTGTACCTGCATTCTTTTACCAGTACTTCCCTGTTCTCAGTAAAAGTAACATCTAATTTTACTTGAACCAGTGATCAGTAATAGAACTGTATCAGTGAAGGACATACATACATATAGAATTAAAACTGAATTTTCATTTACAGGATCCATGGACCTAATGTTGTCCCTAACTGAACTTACTCTGTAGTCTGCTTATCTCTGGCAGACAAGCAAAACTAGTATGTGTAAATACTTACGGGGGTAGGGATCCAATAGGCTGCCCCTCATATCTTTTGACCATGTCCAGTCCATAGATGTTAAACATATGATACGGGTTGACAGACACCAAAATACTGCCACAATATGTCTGAAATAAACATTTGTTATTCATCAGATTTTATATGTAAACATACAACAAACTTTTAAGACTTTTACACTTAAACATATATATCTAGAAGATTCTTTGCTGGTTATCTTAGCAACAGGGTAATGGCAACTATTCAGTGTTTATTTGCATATGTCAATGATTAACTAAATTCACCTCTTTAATTACTCTTAATAAACTAAATAATACAGAAGCTCTGTTAACAGTTATTAAATCAAATGTTTCATGTTTATTTTCTCTTTTATAAGATACAGACAATCTTTCTGTCACCATAGTAATGAAGTAAGCATTATGGTGTCTGACTGTAAATGTATCCGAACAAACTGATGTTTTTTCTGATGACCTAAGAAAAGTGAAATAGTTTATTATTTCATGTCCACTTACATATATCTGGTCATATTTGTATCTAGCTTGAAGGTTTTCTAGAATGGTTCTCTCATCCAACACACTGAAATAAAATAATGGACACAGTCAATATTAAAATAAATAATTTAATCACAATAAGAATACTTCAAATTCTTCAATTCAACAAACATAACACACTAGATGAAAACACAACAGTTCACTTCATTATTTACATATTTTGACTGACAAGTCAAAATTTACAGATAACAAATAGTCAAGTGCTTCAGAGTAGTCAAATTAAACATTATTTTAATACCCTGCTTTGAAGGGCTAAGATGGACCACTTCTTACAATATTTCAAGCATGAGAAAGCACTTTAAAGGAAAAATACCATTCTAAGGATAGAATAGCAATCAGTAATTTGAGCAAAAATTAAAGGAATAAATAGCTGCAATCAAAGCCACTAACCATTCCAGGAAAGTCAGGCCTTAAAGATTTATAACTGAATCAACTATTTCAACACCTGACAGCATCACATGTATAATGTACCCACATGTAAGTGATGAAAAAAAAGTCAAGAATATTTAGTACAAAATTCTCTACTATTTACAGAATTTATGCAATGAAAACAACCATGACTATATATAATATATACAATTAACAGTTTAAATCACAATTTTTGCCAAATAAATCTTGTAAAGTGAAATAGTATAAGGCTGCTATGCTCTACTTATTACCACATTAGATATTTTTTTAAAGAGATAGCTTTACATTCATGTACATCTAAGCTTGAAATATCATTTGAAATTTAAAGTTACAAAAAGATATTGTGAACTTTAAAGGCAATAGTAACATAACTTATTTCATTCTGTTTCTTATCTTATATTGTGTTTTGAATCAATTTAACATCACAGCTACCTCAGTAATATATTGACAGAAAGTTACCTTAATATTTGGTATTACTACTAACATTTTTTTTCCAAGTATGTTCAACAACTGAACACTTTTTACAGTCATGGGGAACAAAATAGTTTTACACATAAAATTGTCACAATTGTACAATTGCAAAACCCGAGTACACAAAATCACCACCCGCAGGTCTGTAGTTCTTTAGTCCCACCTGTTGGGCTCAAACCGAATCTATGGCAAAATCATTAATATGTCACAAGGTGAGAAAAATGTGCAGCCTGACCAGGACTCAAACCTATGACTTGCGAAAATCTTTTCTGCAACACTCTTTTCTGAGCAACCTTGTTGCTTACACATTTAATCTTTCCTATTAGTGATCAGTACAATATAGTGACATACAGCACCCCTATATTTGAAATCATTGAGAACAAAATTAATCAACTTCCAAAATGTCAGACTCCTGAAAACAACACTTGGCACCAGGTCTATCGGGTAAACTTAAAGCTGCTGCTTACACATTTTCTACTTTATCACTTCTATATCTAGCTAACATCAATATTAACATATCTTAATATACATGTGGGGGGTTTCTGAGAAGAGCAATTCAACATTCAAAGAACAAATATTGAGATGATAATTATTGTTTTGCAATCTTGAGATAATATTATCATGTTACATTATAAGAGACGACATGCTGTTTATTTGAGACTTTGTATAATATTTCACAATTAATTATGTATGATGCCTGATATTTATCGTATCTGTTTTGGACAATGACTGAAGAAAGAAGAAAATATCTCATTACTTTTTCCTTCTGTGTAGACTCGGGGTTCTCAAAATTTCGAGTTTATGTGATTTTTACTGAACAAATAGACACTGCATTCCATACTATTTTTATACTATTGTAGTATCATATTAAAAGTATCAGTGACAGAAAAAGCAAAGTCAAGTTAATCTTTGGTGTGCTTTTTTGACATTCCAGCAATGGTGTACTGGTGTCAAGTAATGAAATGTATCTCCTTTAAATCTCAAAACAAACAAAACAAAGAAAACAATCAAAGATATTTAAACAATAAAATGAATAATTGTTATTAATTTAACAGTTATGATAAACTTCTGACAATTGGGGCTCATCTTGTTCAGGGAAGTTTCTATTGACAGATTTTACTGTTTAAAACACTGCCTTTGATGTAATAGAGTATAATTACACTGAATAATTTATCTCCTATCTTTTCTCGCCCAAATCATCGATTAATATTTGATGAGCTAATTACATCCCTTGTTAACTGTCACACCTGTCGTCTGCTAATCATTGGTCTTAAAACTTGAAACAAAATTCCTGTTTTATTTACCTTTTATTTTCTCTTAAACAGTGGTACAATCGTTCCAATAAAAATACAATTAAAAGAAGAAAACAAAAACTGAGATGAAGAATCAACAATGTTGTATCATATGCCGAATGTACAAAATTAACTACTGATAAAACAACAACCTGTTTGTTCATAAATCAGTTTTTGTTTGGGAACATCTTCAATGCATTTTTTATCATTTCCTTTCCTTTCAGCTTGTCGATAAAAACTAGTTCAATATTTTTAGCTAATCAAAATAAATGTCAACATGCCTGTCTAATAATTTTTCAGTAAGGCAAAGATATAGAGAGATCAAAGGTATCAGAAATTTCAACCAATTTTATTTTAATCAAGGCGGCTATCAACAACTAAAAGTGATTTTCCTCTACACAAGTATTGAGCCAGGTCAGACTCAGTACCTGGTGTCCTCTACACAAGTATTGAGCCAGGTCAGACTCAGTACCTGGTGTCCTCTACACAAGTATTGAGCCAGGTCAGACTCAGTACCTGGTGTCCTCTACACAAGTATTGAGCCAGGTCAGACTCAGTACCTGGTGTAAGATGAAGAATATGACAGCTAAAATTCATACATGTGTTTGTTTATATTCATATGCATTTTTATTTTAAAATTCAGTTAATTTAAGCAAGCTTAGTTGTATAATAATTTCTAAGAACGTTTGTTTGTTCTGATTGGGTTTTAAATCACGGTCATATGGCGACTTTCAAGCTTTACCGGTGGAGGAAGTTCAGAGCATTATTTCAGGCACGAACTGGCAGTTGAGTAGAACCACCGACGTTCCGTAGGCTAGCTGGATAGCTTCATCATATGAAAGAATCAAAAGTCCCTGTCGGGATTCAAACCCACAGCGGTGAGGGGCAAGTGGTTTCTAAGAACGTATATTTTATCACTTATGGGCCTGCTTTCTGGAACTTACAAGAAATGGTGTTATAAAAGGAAACATGATTTAAGTTTGATTCCAATTAAGTTAAGATAAGTTACGTGCTAAAACTATCAATGGAAACTTGTTCTAACAATGTATCAAATCCATCCAGAAAATAGTACAAAGATGATTGCCTTCGTCCTTCACAACAATTTAATTCTCAATAATGACTTTAAAATCTGTATAACTTAAAAAAAAATCAAAATGATGAAGCATTTTTAATATAAAGAACTACCTACAGAAAGTGGATATTTTTCTTTAAGCTTTACCATCTTCACACAATAATATAATGTTTTCAATGTTTTAAAGTACAATTTAATGGATTCTCATCAACAAGTTTTAGATTATCTCAAAAGATTATCTCAAAATCAATTTACTATTGTTACAACAGCTTCAGCATAATATGAGTAATTATGACCGAATAGTGAAATAATACAACATTTTTGTTTGCTGAAATGTATTAAAACCAAATAGACAACAATATACATCAATCATCAAATTAACCATATTTTAAAGTTGTATCTTCATTTCAAGTTGAAGCAATATTTTATGATACATTTTGTGAAATTTATATCATAATATTTGGAGATGACTTTGAAGTTTATTAAGAGTTACTGAATTGAACCAAGTACTATATGTGGGTTTGAGTCCTACCCGGGTCACAACCATATTTACTTAATTGCACCAATACTAATTAGTTCTGGGAAGCAAAAGTGATTAATTATGTCGCAAGAACTTGTTGATCAATCTATTCTAAGATAAATATGTTTAAACTAATATCGTACCATTGTAGTACACTTTTCATGAAAAGACAAATCTATAAACTATCATAATAATATTGTAAAATTTACAGAACAAAGAAATTTAATGGATTTTGGATTCAAAACAGTGCTACATTACAGGTTTGTTACCATACTGTAGTGCGCTCTACTTAAAACATTTTCAGATGCTTAAATAATCTTTACCCAATGTGAACCAAAAATGGTTACCGGCTTCGCTACAATCTTTAAATTTTCACCTTCACCTAACATTGTTAATGGACATTTCCCAAAGCGCATTGAGTCACTTTACAAAATTCAGCATGTTATAGGTTAAAATCATTAAATTTTCTATGTACCACGACAGAAAGCATGGACTGTGGCATAAAATCATCAAACCAAACCTACAGTATTTCATTTTTCTAAAATTCTTTTATATCTGTTTTAAATACCTTGAATTGTTTTCATGAAGAATCAACATGGTCTACATTGACATATATACTTTGGACAAAGTTTGCTCTGGAATTTATTACTATTTGGAACAAATGCGAATCTCTGTAAATTTTGTTTTATCCTATGTTGAAAACTGGCCACATTTTTGTACAACTAATCAGGCATTAAACTTTCACAAAACATACCAGCAGGTCAACAGTGTGTGTAAAGTAATTAGCACTTTATTACATTTCAATATAACTTATATCAGCCCAACATTTACGTATAAAGTTGTTACTTTACACAATATAGTTTAAATTGACTTTTTGGTTCCAATCTAATACACAAGACCAAGTTTTACCAATTGCATGTTTTCATTTCATATTTCCCTATTTTGAATATTTTGAATGTATGCCAAATACAATACTTTCTTTATCTACTATGCAAAAATACATAATACATTGAAAAGCACTTCTTAATAGAAAGTCATTTGATCCACTTTTACATACACATTATCAGCTGAGATAAGATTTTTGGACGTTTTTTATTGAATAGTAAAAATGGTATAGTGTCTTCAAAAGCATTTAAAAGAACATTTACAATAGAGAGGTCAAACAAATTAAAATGATAAACTTAGATAGTGAACAATTCATCCATACCTAAAACTCTATTACAAATATACAAGCATTGATAAGAGATTTGACTCACTCTCTACTAAGCACAGCAATACCTTAAGATTACCTTATCTGTTTTAATACTAAACAGGAAAGGCTTATTTCAGCATTTTCAGTGAAAGGCAAAGAAAGTTTCAAAATTATTAGGGAAAGGCAAAGTCTCAACATTATTTGGGAAAAGCAATGTTTCAACATAATTAGGGCAAGGCAATGGTTCAACATAATTAGGGTAAGGCAATGGTTCAACATTATTTGAACGAGGCAATGGTTCAACATTATTAGGGAACATTATTATTTGGGAAAGACAATGTTTTAACATTATTTGGGAAAGGCAATGTTTCAATGGGTAATGCCATGTTTCAACATTATTAGGGCAAGGCAATGTTTCAATGTTATTTGGATAATGCAATGTTTAAACATTATTAGAGTAAGGCAATGTTCAGCATTATAAGGGTAAGGCAATGGTTCAACATTATTAGGATAAGGCAATTTATCAACATTATTAGGGTAATGCAAAGGTTCAACATTATGAGGGTAAGGCAATATTCAGCATTATAAGTGTAAGGCAATGTTTCAACATTATGAAAAGGTAATTAAAACTTGCAGCATATATGTATAGCGGAAAGAAAATGTTTTTCAACATATTAGGGAAAGGCAGTATTTCAACATTATAAGGAAAAAGCAATGTTTCAACAATTAAAAGGGAAAGGCAATGTTTGAACAATTAAAAAGGAAAGTCAATATTTCAACTTTATAAGGTAAAGTCAATGTTTCAACTTTTAAAAAGGGAAAAGCAAGGCTTTGACATTATAGGAAAGGTTTGAGATAATGAGAGGTGTCAGCAGCAAATATGATAGCTAAGGTTCCTCATATGAGAGAACCCAAAGCCTGTCAAAATTTTAACCAGAAGTCTGGAACCTTAACAACTAGATCAAGGAGGCTCCGATAATAAAATAACCTTGAGAATGCTGTTGCTGGGATTAGAAAACTAGTTATTCTTTGATGATTCAAATAATGTTAAAAATGACAAACTATTATAATATTGCCATACTCTAGTTTTATCATATCCTCCAACCCTCGTTCCTCCTCCCTCTCACTGTTGTCATGGTAACCATTCATTGCCATGGTTACAGCTCTGGTTTATATACCATACCTAAAATGTAACATAACATTATTGTCAAACTGTATAAATGGCATGCAAATAAATTTCAAAAATGTAAAAATTTGACACATGATTGTGATACATTGCTTATGTTCATAATGCAAATAGGATCAGATAAAGTTATCAGCTTTTAATTTAATACTTAGAAAAACATAAGGTTTGTCCCACATCATCTACTTCAGCATTTAATACATAAATAACAACATTAAATACATAAATAACAAAATTCAGCCATGTTTTAACAATTATGTTTGAATGTAATGAGTATGTATGTAGTTGTTTATTATGTGAAATGCCGATGTTAAGTAACAGGATGTTAACCTTTCAACACAAACATTGTGAAAGCAGGTGACAATGTTAAGAGGCCTCTAACATGAAAATATACTTACAGTTACAATATCAACTTCATTGTCTTTCCTCTGTTTGGCTACATACTGCTCTGTAATATAACAAACATTTCTTTTATTTACATACAGACCAACACAAAGAGCATAATTGAAACATGAAACATTTTTATTTGTAACCTTTACCATGCTTGAACAGATGAGCCTTTGCCACCAGTATAGACATGTGCTAGTCATGTGTGCAGTCTCACCAGCCTCTGTATTGTTGGCTGGTGAATTTTCGTACTTTGATAATGAAATCTCTTATATTTTGATTGGACCTTTACAAATTCAAAGCAGGGCAAATGAAATCATATACTGAGTAAGATAAGAGTTAACTAGAAATGTGTCATCATGCCACGGATGCCCCCGCATGCAGCCAAAATTTCAGATGGTGCAGTAATTATTTTTTCATTTTAAGTTCAAAGCCCTTAAAACTTTTCAATGTTAACACAAACCATTTCCATACAATGTTCAAGGCACTGAAATTATTCAGTCTTAACCTTTTAGAAATAGCATATTGCATATTTGTAGCCAAAATAATGGCTAAAAGAATGAGTGCTGAAACTGAAAGTTCAAAATTTTTCCAACATTCAGGAAAGATAAGTTTGTCTAAAATCATTGAACCATGACCAAATTCAAACTTAAACTGCTTATTCCTAAGATGTATCTATATTATTTTCAAAGTGAAAGGGACATAAATCTGCCAAAAAATCATCTAACCATGACCAAATTCCAACTTGACCTGCCCATTCCTTTGACATATCCATATGTCAAATTAAAGTTGAATATGTAACACTGTTGGGTAGATAATGAACAGAAACTGTAAATTTCATATTATTTTCAAAGTGAAAGGGGCATTACTCTGCCAAAAATCATTGAACCATGACCAAATACGAACTTGGCCTGGGCATTCCAAAAACATATCCATATGTCAAATTTGAGTTGAATGTGTTGTACCATTGGGGAGATAATAAACGGAAACTGAAAATTTCATATTACTTTCAAAGTGAAAGGGACATAACTCTGCCAAAAATCATTGAACCATGACCAAATTTGAACTTGACCTGCGCATTCCTTTGACGCATCCATATGTCACGTTTGAGTTGAATGTGTTGTACCTTGAGGGAGATAATGAACGGAAACTGAAAATTTCATATTATTTTCAAAGTAAAAGGGGCATAACTCTGCCAAAAATCATCGAACCATGACCAAATTCGAACTTGACCTGTATTTTCTCATGACATATCCATATGTCAAGTTTGAGTTGAATGTGTTGTACCGTTGGGGAGATAATGAACGGAAAGTGAAATTTCATATCATTTTCAAAGTAAAAGGGGCATAACTCTGCCAAAAATCATCGAACCATGACCAAATTCGAACTTGACCTGTATTTTGTCATGACATATCCATATGTCAAATTTGAGTTGAATGTGTCCAACCGTTCTTAAGATAATGAACGGAAACTGATGATGACGGAATGACAGAATGACGGAAGGATGGAAGGACGGAAGGACGGAATGACGGAACAGGGTAACACTATATGCCCCGGCCATTACATGGCGGGGGCATAAAAAACAAAGATCTACGAAATGGTAAACTAACTTATCCAACAGACAAAATGGTAAACTAACTTATCCAACAGAGAAATATGCTACAAAACATTTTAACTTAATTTTTGTATGTTGACATTATGAGACATTATATCCTGTTGACAAAATAAAACACAAGTAAAGTTTGATTTTGTCTAGATATGTTTGGAGACATTCTGACATAAAGGTTGACAATGTAAGATCTCGCAAAGATCTTGTAAAAAACACCTTACAGCGTCACTTATGTCTCCATCTTACATTACCATTAATATATTCAAACACTGCCTTTAGCTCAACAAATTTTAGTGGTTTATTTTTTTTTTTTTTTTTACAAAATATGACATTTTACTCATAAACATCATACTATTATGACCATTTGCCATTAAGTAAGTATAAATATATCTAAATGTTATCTGTATTGATAATTCAGGGAAATTCAACAGATTGTACTAGGATAATAACCATTATGCAGACTTCCCCTTTTTCCATCTTCATTAAATGCATATAACATTCAAATTAAAGGTCAGTTTGACTGTGTAAAATTTGTAACAACTGGTCTATGAGGAAAACTAGGAAAACGTACTTTCAGCCTTACTGACTTTGGCCTTGCAGCTATTGACCATTAACTCCACTTCAGGCAAAGGTCAATGGAAGGAACCAAAGTATAAATATCTTAGATATCAATCAGATAATAAAGATGCTATGAGAAGCAGCAAGTGTGTTTGTTTTTAACACTGACTTTTGCACATTTTTGGTCATATTTCTGTGGTTGGTCCATCTAACCTGAGCTTTTTTGGACAACTTATCCGTATCTACCAATTTCTCCCTAAATGACTGACTACTAATCCAACAAGATTTTGAATCAGCGGGGTATTAGGCTCAATGTCTGAGATCAAATGTCATGGAGAAATTAGCCTGAGCATCAAACCTGTAACCCTTTGATCCTAAGGTCTGACCTAATTGAACTAAGAAAGTGGAAATAGCAATTAAGTGTAACTGATGGTCAGACAGGAACAACAGCATGCAGTTAGGACAAACAGGCAAATGTGTGAAATGTTCCATCAAAACATTTCTACGAGCATAATAAAAGATTAAACATATACATTCTTATAATGGTTTTGGAAATCTCTCTTAATTATAAAAGCTTCTTTTGGGAACATGTGGACATTGTTTTGATATTTTTATGAGAGCTACTATAAGTATTGTACAATCTGATAAGGTAACTGATTGCTTTATTATGTGAAGGCTAATAAACAAGGAAGATAGTGATAATGGCTGCCCATTTAGCAATCAATTAGTATATTATACCCAACATCAACATCTATAACACGACAGGTGTTCATTAAACTTTACTAAATGTTCAATACTTCAGATAAACAACATGATTTCTTTATTTTTGTTTTAACAAAGCTCAAAGGAGATGTAACAATTTTCTTTTTACTTCTTTGCATTTTCTTTCTGTTGAAATGTGAAATTTAAAGAGATTTATTATAAGACTTTCTTTTCCCCCAGGTTATGAATGACAGTCAATAGAAAGTGATATTAACTTGATGATATTGTTCAAAACAATTTACAAAATTTAAATACATCATAACATCATAAAGAGTGGCTCTTAATTTAAACCTATATATTATTGGAATCCAAACGGTAATGGCTTAACAGCTATTATTTAGTACATGTATGTAAAATACTACTTGACTAATCAAAATGTTATGTTAAAAATACAAATGTACATCACCAAATCAAACAGCATTCTTTCTCTCAAAAATACATTGATAACTCAAATCACATTTTTCTTATGAAATCTCTACTCTGCACATTCCATCCGCTTATTTAGGACTTGTTTGCAAGAATAAGGAAATTGCCGCGGACAACTTTGAAAATCTATCAAATGAAGAATTTTAATTTGATCATATTAAACAGATGTAAATACCACACGGCGGTGCTTGTTTTTAAAACTTTAAATAGCATTGCACCGACTTATATGACAGAACTGATGACTTTATCCGACAACAAAATATATAACTTAAGATCTAGGTCACGAAAAGATATTGTATTATGGACAAGACCTAAAACAAATTATATTAAAGACACATTTTCTTATTATGGCATGAACATTTGGAACAATATACCTTTAAATATTCGTAATGTTAATAACCTTAAATGTTTTAAAGAAAAATACAAAGCATATCTTGATGTTCATATGAGTGAATGAATGAGTGAATGAATGAATGAATAAATATATACGAACGAACGAATGATGCAATATACGTATATGTTTAAACAAATTGTTGAGTGTCTGTCGAAAGTATATGAGTTGTATTATTCTAAAAATTACATATTATACACTCATTTTTCTACCTATGCATATCCTGTTGTTGTTGCTGTTTTCTATTTCAGAAGGCCACTTTGGAAATAAGATATATATGATTGTTATTATATGTTCTTAATGTGTAACCTTCTTTAAATAAAGATATTATTATTATTATTATTATTATTATTATTATTATTATAGTTACTGTATGAAGACTTTGGTGAATATCAAAGTCTATGAACCTTGCTAATGTGATATTCACCTCAGTGGTTTCTAGTGCTTTTAATATGAAATTTTAGTTAATATTAAATAATAAGTTTTAAATTAAATAGTTTAATAATTAGTTTTAAATTAAGTTAAATTAAACGAAGCTAAACACAATAAGGTGTTTCCAGACAACTCCTGCATTTGTGTTTGTTTTATTAATATGAGTCAGTTCAAAATAATGTTACAAAACTTAAACCACAAATTGTACCATAAATAAATTTATCACCATTTTATCTTTCTTATTCTGTCAAAATATCTTATGAACGAAAAAAAAAATAAAAATAAAAAAAAAAATAATGAAATTATTTGATCATTTCAAGATAGGATGAATATCAATCTTTTATTTATTGATATATGGACAAATTTTAAAAGGTAAAAGGTCAGTTTTTAGGCTTATTTATACATATTTGAAATCTATTTGCAATGTCTTCAATAATCAAAACCACTGTGAAAGAAAACAGTTTGCTATCTTGTTTGGTGAAGGGTTAATCTTGTTTGTACAAATCAGAAACTAGGTAATTTCTAAAGGTCTATAGTCTCTTTTAAAGGGCCATTAAGCCTAAAAAATTCTATTGATTTTATTTCTCAAAATCTGTTCTTTTTTGCTGCCCTATTACTAATTAGCCATATAGCTTAGCCTTCTTTGCTGTTTTTGCAATTTGTTTAATTATAGTTATTCAGAATTTTGTAAGGAAGTCAAAATATCATTTTGTTTACATCTTGCTCCCTTTATAACAATAATACCACATTTAGTGCTAGTTAACTTTAGATTATAGCATCTCAAAATCCATAATTACTATTTTTTAGAACACAATCATGTTTGCCCTTTTTACAGAACAATAAATTTAATAATTTCTGGCATCAATGTGCCCTCAATCACTATCTTTGCAGTAAAATTATTGAAGGGCAAAGGTCTTCAGCTAGTAGTCTCTCCATTACTCGAGGTGGCACGAACACAGGTATGACTGTATGTATCCACTAATGTAAAATGGTTCTTTTTTAGTAAAACATGTCAGCTGTGCAGAAAACTTGAAGAGTTCTTCAGGCCAACTGCAACAACTTATCATAACTGGTGTCATAGGAGAAAACATGGTTCAAACGCTTCACTAGGACTCAAATCCATGATTCCTGTGTTACAAGACACACAGAATAAGACCAATACATCCTCTTCTGTTTATATATAGTATAACAAACATTATTTACTAGTGTAACAGAGTCTTATTCTAAAGGCTTTCAGACAACTCTTATCTTAGGTGGGCCTTCTGACTGTCATACACTTAAATAAAAATATGTGTTTGAAATTAATATTTTAGTATTTACATTTTGCTTTTATTACAGGTTTATTTTCTCTCCCACTCAGGCATGCTACAATTTTATAAAGTTAATATCTTTATACGAATTAAAAAAAGAGTAGTACAGTACTAAATTATTCAAATATAATGTGACTTGTCACAAGTATGAATAAAACCAAACAATAATTAGCTCAAAACAGAATTTTTCAACATTAAATGTCACCAGAAAATGTCTTCATTATCAAAATATTTGCATTCTCAAATTAAATACTTTTATTCATTATCTTTATAAAGTATTAGAGAAGATTATCTTGCATAAATTTTAGGTAGCATAAGATGACACAAAATGCATGAACAGAAATTAACCGTTCATCTGCTATATTCTTAAATGGACTTATCAAGTTCATAATTTGGAACTGTCCAATTTGAATTTAAGGGACATGAAATTGAAAATTTGAAGTTGGTCAGCACACAGTTATAGAGCCTGGTCAGACTGCATGCACACATGCACGCTGGCGTGGTTCTATACTGGTGGCAAAGACTAACTAATATGGCCATGATTTGGGTCGAGCAGGGTAAGGGTTGTCATAAGAACTTTAAAATGGACTATCAATATATATATATAATAACACAAGGTTTTTATAGTAAAATTAGAATTATTAAAATCATAATCTCATAATTTATGATTACTTTGAATCAGTTTAACTATACCTACTTGTAGTGTTGAAGACAACAAATGCAACAGTAAAATATAAACAACAATTTCAAAATTCATAGGGAAAAATCATGTTAACAATGATCTCAAATGTTATTGAAAAATGTTCTATAAACAATCATGTCATACATATTGGTCATTCCAATGCAACCATTGTGATACCACCAACAAGTATTCACATTTTTGAGATGTTCAATCATATCAAATAGTCAAAAGCTTTAATTGTGCTCCAACAGCCACACATATAAATTTTTGAATAGTCATTTCAAAACATACTTTACAATAATTAAAGCTGGAAATGTTCTTCATACACGTACTTTAAAATAATTTAAGCTGAGAAATGTTCTAATATCACATGTATGTTTTTAAAACACAAATGGCTAGATACCAAATGTGTCTATAAATGATTCAGTAACAGAATTAGAAATTTAAACTTGAAAATTAATGTCATTTAGGGGTCAATGCCATAATTCAATCTATAGGTTAAAACAGATTTCTATTCCAAGGTTTTAAGTTTTGTCCAACCATAAAGACTCTGTAGCATATAAAATAAAGTTGTTACAGCCAAGGTCTTGCCTGCAGAAATGAACAGACAGAATAAAAGAAATCATGTCCTTGAGCTAAAATATGGGTATAATAAGATTTTTTTTTTCTCAATGAAAGTTGAAAAATTTAATACTTACTAAAAGTGTTTATAAATCCATTTGAATGTCTTTTGTATTTAATCCACTTAGTTCACTAGCATATAAAATTCCATGTGTAGTATGAATTTTTTATCCTTCTTTTACACTTTTCTGCAAAAGAAAAAAAAATAGAATTTACAAAATAATACTGATTGCATAACAATTGATATGAGTAAGATACTGATAAAAAAGGACATTGACCTTCAGGAATGACCCTGGCCTTGAGCTGAAACGGACATGCCAACCAATCTGTAAATTGTATCTCAACATTAACCCAAGTTTCTCGAATTACTTCAAATGTATTATATGAGATACGGAGTAATGCACAAACATTTGACCCTTCAGGTGCAACCTTGACCTTGATCTAGTGCTGCATCATGTATCCAGCAAAATGCTTCAATATGGTTAACATTTGTTTCATGAAAACATTTTAAGTGTTTAAGGAGACATAGATGGGGGGGGGACACAAACATTAGACTTGAAAAACACTGACACTTTTGAGAGTGACATGGTGAAAGCTCCAAAATAGAAGCTAAAATATAAACTAAATGATTTATAAAACTGTAAAACAAATATAACAATTTAATCAAACCTGGTTTGTTGTTTTTTTTATTAAAAACTTGGCATTGGCAATCAAACATGCATATATCATTAAAACAACCACTATATCAACAGATCCATGTTTTATGATTTGTTTACTTTATTTTAAATGCATACACTTAAAACATGATCAACTTTTATGGTAGCTGATCTGAGCTGTGTACAACTCCTGTATTTGCATTGTTGCCCCCCCCCCCCCCGCCCCCACCCACCCCCCACCCCCTCTATCCCCTTTAATTACCCGTAATGATAAAACAATGTTTGATGGTTCAATCCACCATAAATAGTTACAACAGTCAGACCTGTGAATTAAAATATGTATACAGACCAAAGTCAAAATTAATATATGATATAAGCAGAAATTCAACAGCCCAATTCCAAAAATACTCATCAGAAATAAAAAGAAATGTGCTACTGTCTTTACATTAATTGAGAGAAATAAGCAATACAAGTTTATTTGCATTAAGAAACACCATGTCTCCAAAGGCCACTGATTTATCTTTTCAATGAACTAGCATATCCAAAGTAAAACAAGTTATTCATTTCTTCAAATGCTAAAACAAAACTACACCTAAACTTAAAAAGAACACCACTGGTTCCAATAACTTCTGAAGATATTTACTTCAATAAAGCTTGAATAACTTAATTCTGTATTAAAATATCCAATGTGCAATGAAAATAATCAGTATAGTACATGTACTATTTTCATAATTTGGTCATTACCAGATAAAGAGTGTATTTCGATTTTCTGAAAATACTGATTAAACCCATATTTGAAATGCATGTGACGACATTTTTCAGAGATAAAGTGACATTTAAAAGTATTACCATTTATCAAGCAATGAAAACTGCCTCTCTAGTGATGGTCAAGTACCAGAAGAATGATAGTTAAGATAGCATACAAATGTTACATAAATCTATCTCACCATCCATTTATGTCTGATTAAACCTTTAATGTACACGCATGTTATCTTTACAATATAGTTCAACACTTAAAATTTTCACGAAAACTTAAAATGAAACTATGCACTGAGTACAAGGATTTATACCACATATGATAACCCCATTTAATATCAAAAAACTCTAATGGAGTAACTGTTGGGAGATAGTCAAAGACCCCCAAAAAGCCCTAGCTTCCATCTAAAAATTTTAAAATGAGATAGGATAAAAGTCCTCACATCAATTTCTCTGCCAAGGTAAAAATCCTTTAAACATATTCACCACATTGTCAATTTTGCATGGGCTTTTGACCAGTAAGGCTTTTGTCATGCACTTTCATGGTCTGATCAGAGACTGTACAGTAGTCCACAGCCTATACATGTACTTGTGGCATGTCTGAACTATACTTGTGGCATATCTGAACTATACTTGTGGCATATCTGAACTATACTTGTGGCATATCTGAACTATACTCGTGGCATATCTGAACTAGACTTGTGGCATATATGAACCAGACTTGTGGCATATCTGAACTAGACTTGTGGCATATCTGAACTATACTTGTGGCATATCTGAACTAGACTTGTGGCATATCTAAACTATACTTGTGGCATATCTGAACTATACTTTTGACATATCTGAACTATACTTGTAGCATATATGAACCAGACTTGTGGCATATCTGAACTATACTTGTGGCATATCTGAACTATACTTGTGGCATATATGAACCAGACTTGTGGCATATATGAACCAGACTTGTGGCATATATGAACTATACTTTTTGGCATATCTGAACTATACTTGTGGCATATCTGAACTATACTTGTGGCATATCTGAACTAGACTTGTGGCATATATACACTATACTTGTGGCATATCTGAACTATACTTGTGGCATATCTGAACTATACTTGTGGCATATATGAACTATACTTGTGGCATATCTGAACTAGACTTGTGGCATATATGAACCAGACTTGTGGCATATCTGAACTAGACTTGTGGCATATCTGAACCAGACTTGTGGCATATCTGAACTATACTTGTGGCATATCTGAACTATACTTGTGGCATATATGAACCAGACTTGTGGCATATATGAACCAGACTTGTGGCATATATGAACTATACTTTTGGCATATCTGAACTATACTTGTGGCATATCTGAACTATACTTGTGGCATATCTGAACTAGACTTGTGGCATATATGCACTACACTTGTGGCATATCTGAACTATACTTGTGGCATATCTGAACTATACTTGTGGCATATCTGAAGTGGCATATCTGAACTAGACTTGTGGCATATCTGAACCAGACTTGTGGCATATCTGAACTATACTTGTGGCATATCTGAACTATACTTGTGGCATATATGAACCAGACTTGTGGCATATATGAACCAGACTTGTGGCATATATGAACTATACTTTTGGCATATCTGAACTATACTTGTGGCATATCTGAACTATACTTGTGGCATATCTGAACTAGACTTGTGGCATATCTGAACTATACTTGTGGCATATCTGAACTATACTTGTGGCATATCTGAACTATACTTGTGGCATATCTGAACTATACTTGTGGCATATATGAACTATACTTGTGGCATATCTGAACTATACTTGTGGCATATATGAACTAGACTTGTGGCATATCTGAACGTTACTTGTGGCATATCTGAACTGTACTTGTGGCATATCTAAACTATACTTGTGGCATATCTGAACTATACTTCAAATCATTACACCATAAGCCTTCAGAGACTTTAGTTTTCAAAAGAATGTGTACTCATGTTCATATTATAATATAACAAAGAATGTAAGTTTTCAAACAAGAGCTGTCGGTAGGACAGCAACGCTCGACTATTCTTAGTGCTTGATAGTAAAAAAAATGCCTGATACAGTTACCTCCTCCTGTTTACAGGTTGGGGTCATGATGGTGAACAAGTGTGCAAAGTTTCAAAGCCATATGTCAATGGACTTTGAAAATATTTGAACTATTACAAAAACTTTAACGTAAATTCTAAGTCGAAAAAGGGGCATAATTCTGTCAAAATGCTTAATAGAGTTACCTCCTGCTGTCTACAGGTTGGGGTCATGATGTTGAACAAGTGTGCAAAGTTTCAAAGCCATATGTCTATGGACTTTGAAAATATTTGAACTATTACAAAAACTTTAACGTAAATTCTAAGTCGAAAAAGGGGCATAATTCTGTCAAAATGCTTGATAGAGTTACCTCCTCCTGTCTACAGGTTGGGGTCATGATGTTGAACAAGTGTGCAAAGTTTCAAAGCCATTGTCAATGGACTTTGAAATTATTTGAACTATTACAAAAAACTTTAACGTAAATTCTAAGTCGAAAAAGGGGCATAATTCTGTCAAAATGCTTGATAGAGTTACCTCCTCCTGTCTACAGGTTGGGGTCATGATGGTGAACAAGTGTGCAAAGTTTCAAAGCCATATGTCAATGGACTTTGAAAATATTTTGAACTATTACAAAAACTTTAACGTAAATTCTAAGTCGAAAAAGGGGCATAATTCTGTCAAAATGCTTGATAGAGTTACCTCCTCCTGTCTACAGGTTGGGGTCATGATGGTGAACAAGTGTGCAAAGTTTCAAAGCCATATGTCAATGGACTTTGAAAATATTTGAACTATTACAAAAACTTTAACGTAAATTCTAAGTCGAAAAAGGGGCATAATTCTGTCAAAATGCTTGATAGAGTTACCTCCTCCTGTCTACAGGTTGGGGTCATGATGGTGAACAAGTGTGCAAAGTTTCAAAGCCATATGTCAATGGACTTTGAAAATATTTGAACTATTACAAAAACTTTAACATAAGTGGTTACGCCGACGCCGACGCTCGGGTGACTGCAATAGCTCTACTTATTCTTATCGAATAGTCGAGCTAAAAAATGCACATAAAAAATGCACATAATACAATGTATAGTTAAATGGCATGAGATATGATGACATTCTTTCAACCACAATAAATATCCAGGAGACAAGCTATCCCTAATTTGCAATAAAATCATTTATACTTGTGGATGATTTTTTGGGCAAATCTTGTGGTTCAATAAACATGCATAAAATCAATAATAAAACGATTTTGTTCTACTATAATAGCTTGAAGTTTGAAGTTGATAAGTTTTATCAAAAAAATAACATTTTATAGGGAACAAGAGCTGTCATGCAAAAGTGACGAATACCCCTGAAAAGGTTTATTAAGCATTGCAAAAAGGTATTATGAAAAGAAAAGAGAATGAAAAATATTGTTCTTGTGAAATAAAGTAATATTTATAGCAAACTTACCACCTGGGGACATGAGTCTTGGATGCGACACATCATCTTGATGTGGTAGACATTTATGCTAAGTTATTTTAAAATTGTTTGATGCATGACAAAGTTACAGTCTGGACACGAATGTGTGTACCTATAATCTCTATCTGTGATAGTATGAACCTTCAAAATGTCAGTGTGACCTTGACCTCTGAAGAAGGGACGTGGTTTTAACGAAGTGATGTGGTAGACATTTGTGCCAAGTTATTTCAAAATCCTTCAATGCATGACAAGATTACAGGATTGTTGTTTAAGTTGGGATGGACTGAAGGACATGAGCCTTAGCAAATACACATCATGATGCGGTAGTTATTAATTTTGTGCCAAGTTGTTTTAAAATATTTTGATGCATGACAAAGTTACAGTCCGGACGCGAAGGTGTGTACCTATAAACTCTAATTGTGATAAAGTGAAACTTCAAAATGTAAGTGTGACCTTGATCTTTGAAGTAGGGTCGTTATTCTTGGTCGCAACATATAAAATTATATTGTCTTGATGTGGTAGACATTTATGCCAAGTTATTCTAAAATCCTTCGATGCATGACAAAGTTACAGTCCGGACACAAATATGTGTACCTATTAACTAATTGTGATAATGTGAAACTTCAAGGGCCCATTAGGGGGCATAAAAATATAAGTTCATGGGGAGATAACTCTGGAAATATTGGTGCTAGAGTTCAGACCCATGTCACATATGAGGTGGTTCATGATAAAGAACATTATATTTGAAGTATAAATTAGACCCCTTATGAAAGAGAAAAAAATAACATTTTTAAGGAAAGGGGAGATGATTCTGAAAAAAATGATGCTAGAGTTATAACCTTATCATAGGGATGATAATGAGGAACATATAAATTATTTGAAGTTTGAAGTTGATACCTTAAGCAATACAAAAGTTATAGTAAAAAATATTTTACTGCACAAAAACTTTAATATGCAGACAGTGGGACAGCTCTCCATATACTGTGTATAGTCCATTACAGTATGTCAAACACTTCTAAATGCCATTTCTCTTAAATAAGCAAAAAAGTTCAAGCAGTACAATGGGTGTAGACAAACAATATGCACTCACTTGAATGAAGTAGCGTGTAATTCTTGTTACAAACATTGAGTTTTTCAAATTTATATGGAAATTATACAATCTACACTAACAAAATAAATTGCTGGTTTTCTGCAGGATTGTTTTAAGATTACCGGTATATATAAGTCATTAACAAAGAACATTGTGTTATAAAATTGAAGTTTACAAAATTTAATTTTACAAACTATTTTCATAAAATGTAACATACTAAACAAATACTGATCTA